AAAATTTATGAACTTTATATACATATTATAACTTTAAAATAGTTTTGTAGATTATTTTATTTTAAGCTACACTGCAGTCATCAACTAAATAAATTGCAATTATTAAATTTATTAATAGTTATTAATATATTTATTAGTAATTTTAAAATAACATTTCCAAGAAATACTTATATTGATGTTTTTTATCGTGAATTTATTTATAAGTTTAAATGAATACAATATGATTCAAAATACTAAAGATATAATCTGTAATATATTATTTAAACAATTAAATCATTTTATATTGATTTTGATGTAATGTACAGAATATAATATTTTATAATTAAAAGAAATTATTTTATATTTCTATATAAGTAAAAAGCTATGTATATAATTGTGACATTTTTTGTTGCTATAATTAATAGCATCTAAGAGAGTAAACATACGACAGAAACCATTTATTATCTCTCAAATAAAATAAGAGAGAACAGAGAGAGAGAGAGAGAGAGAGAGAGAGAGAGAGAGAGAGAGAGAGAGAGAGAGAGAGAGAGAGAGAGAGAGAGTTCACATAAAAAATTTAATATAAATTATTTAACTAATAAGTTTTATTTTATCTTATTTGTAAAAATATCTATTTTATTCAGAGAATTTAATATATTAATAGTAATTTAATTAAAAAAGTTTTTTGTTTTAATACACATTATACAGTATATATATATATACACAGTATATTTGTATACTTTATACACTATATAAAAAATTATTATTACTTTGCAATAATAAAAAGCTAGAAATATTAAGCAAAATTTTAAGACTACTATAAAAAATTGTTTATATGATAACATTAACAAATTTCATAAATTATATGATATTTAAATATATATATATATATATTTACTGTATATATACTGCTTATATTATATTAAACATAACTCATAAAAACAAAATAATAATAACAATAAAGACAGCCATATATAGACAAAAAAATCTCAATAATAGTTACACACAAATTGTAAGTCAAGTTTTTATTTGTGTTATCAGACTTATAGTCGACTTATTTTGTTTTGATATGTAATTTACTAATGTTTTTTGTGTATTGTATGTATTGTTTTGTATATTTAGTATAAATATATATATATATAAATTTGTAACATTGGACTCTGGTGGTCTAAGTTTATTTAATACAAATGTACAATACAATGGTTTTTTATGGTTATGACATTTAATGTTTTTATATGTTTAACCTTTTCATCACACAATACTACCACATATTTTTTTTGTGAATACTATTCACTATTTCAAGTGCATAATAATAATACTAAATAATACATAACAAAAAATCAAATACAGTGGCCATTAATTAAATGAGTTTTTATATCAAAGCATCACAAATAAAAATAACTATTAATTATTTCATTGATCAGTTAAATTAATTATATATATATATATATATATATATATAATGTTAGATCAGAGTAAATTATTTAAAATTTATTTGATCTTGTTTAAAAAATTTATATTATATACAAAAGTAATAACAAAAAATAAATATTTATTAGATTACAAAATATACCATTTGCTTAATGACAGCACAATTACAGTAAATCTAATATAAATTATAAATTTTTGTATAGATTATTATACAGTATATTCAACTAATATTCAACTAATATTCAACTACATAATATTATTTTACATATATTTATATGCATATTTATATTAAATTATTATTTTAATGATATTTTATTTATTTTTTAAAAACATCATCAAAATAATCAATACCATTATAGTAATTGATATATAGTACGGTATTAGAATAATATTAATACAAAAACATCTCAATAATTATTATATATTTTAATTTTAGTTAATTTATATAACAAATCATTTTACAAAGAAAACTAATATAATATTTAGCTAACCAACAAAAAACTAATTATAAATTATACTACTACTACTAGTATTATTATTATTATTATTATTATTATTATTATTCTAAGATAATAAATTAAATACTAAAGAAAATGGTCTTTTACTTTAATTAAATAAATGTTGCATTAAATAACATAAAACAACAAATTTTATGATTTAAATAATTTATATATTCAATATTAGTCCAATATAATTTAGTTTTTCATTTACTAACTTATATATTATATCTATATATTAAAAATATACTAAAAATACTCAAAATAAATTACAGTATATATATAAATGTTATATAAACTACTGTACATATAATATCAGTGTATTCTTAAATATATGACATTTTTGCCGCAATAGTCGACATCAATGCCGTGAAGTCTATATATTTTATATAAAGTTATATATTTATATTCAATGCTTATGTCAAGTCGTTTATGAAAAGCGTTGAAGATTTCAAATGTCAGACTAAGATATAAAATATCTCACAAATCAAGATAAATAGCCTTTACATTGATGTATATATACTGTATATATATATATATATTATACAATATATCTGGATTATATAAATGATATTGATGGAAAATTTATTTGGACAAACATTTCACATATATAAATTATAGCTGTATATATATATATATATATATTTATATACGGTGTATATTACAGTATACGTGTATATATATATATAATATAAATATTGAATATATAATTTTATATGTATAAACCACATCTACTATACATAAAATTTTATGGATTTACCAATGGTTTGTATGTATACATCATACAGTAGGGATATACTGTATATATATAATGTAAAAGCAATATACTGTATTATACTGTATATAAAGTATATGCATATATATATATATATATATATATATATATATATATATTGTAAAAGCAATATATTTATATATAAAATAAAACGTTATATTATATTTATAAAACATACAGTATATATATATATTATAATATAATATAACTTTATATTTAATGGTTTGCCTCATATTTTAGGATTCACTAAACACAATACCATTTGATTTAAGAATCCATAAAAAAATTTATATAAAATAAAGTAATATTTTTAAAAAATAGTCGGTCAATGTTAGTTATATAATAAATATTGTTGTTATAATTTATAATAATAATAAAAATAATATGAATTTTATGTTTCAGTACAATATTTTTAAAAAACAAATATATACAGTATTTATATTTGTGTATATACACAAACAATTGTTTTATAAATGTTTGCTAAACTAAATCAAAAGAGACAAATCATTGTATAATCCATAGAAATATACAAACATTACAAAAATTATTTATGAAATTAAATTATAATAAATTTTCTCTTTTGTATTGCTGTTAGAAATTTGTGTTGTATTTTGTTTTCAATCATAACAACAATTCATATGTAAATAATGTACAAACAATATTTTTAAATCTCGTATTTTATTATATATATATATTCAGTATATTTAGTTTGTTTTGTATACCTTTATTATAGCTAAAGGGAGTGAATGTGTAATTGAAAGAGTGTGTGTGTGAAAGTGAGTGAGTGAGTAAGAGAAAGAGAGAGAGAGAGAGAGAGAGAGAGAGAGAGAGTATAAAAATTTGATAAAATTGTAATTGAATTTACAAACAAAACAAAAAATAATAGCAAAATACTAAAAATCTCTGAAGCCATTTGTTATATAGCATATAAAACAAAACTTATGTATTATAATGCAATTTATATTAGAAATATACTGTATATATATTTATATTGTACTATATAATATTATACCATAACTTTACAAATTGATGTTATGTATAAAGAAAAGTTATCAAATATATATACAGTATATATATAAATATCTAATAGTATAAGTATAATACATAATAGATAAATAGATTGTATATATTTGTATCGCAAGCATAATATAACAATTTATTCATTCAGTCACTCATTTTGCTAACATATTTGGTAGTCATTCAGTCATAATATAAGAGTGTGTGTGTATGTGTGTGTGTGTGTGTGTGAGAGAGAGAGAGAGAGAGAGAGAGAGAGAGAGAGAGAGAGAGAAAAATGCATTAAATATTTATAATATTATTATACTCTATGTTATGCATAATGTGATTATGTTATTAGCATTTTTATATGCTATTTACTGTGACCCTGTATTTGGTGTGTTCAAACATTTTGCTGTTTTTGTCAAAATATAATCTATTTTTTCACATTAATATTATTATTATTATAGTATTATTATGAATATCAGCAATTGATAGATAAAATTGCATTATAAAATTTTTCGATGTATTATATTATAGAGTACAATATAAAGTACTGTATTTATATATATACTATATTAACAATTTAAATAATCAGTTTGGTTTTTTGATGAATTTATAATAAATTGATGTAAAATAAATAGATTATTTAACTTTAATATAGTATATATTAATATATATACTAATAATTGTAATTATGCAAAATTTTTAAAAAATCAGATTAAATATCAGTATTTATTATTTGTTATTTTATAAATATTACAGTATATTAATAACATACACTATTAATTAATTATTAAACATTACCTAAAATTAAAAGTTTATTGGTTTATTAATAAAAAAATGTATTTATATTATAACAATATTTAATATTACAATAAATTTAATTTTATTAATTTTAGGTAAATGATAATATTCATAATATCTTTATAATAATAAGTATAAATTATTTTAACGCTATGTTATAAAATTTTTAGAGTATATCAATAATAATTTAGTGATAAAAATACATTTTTGTATAAATCACATGGCATTTGCATATATCATATATTCTTTATTTCTAAAAGCAATTACGAATATACAGTATATTTTCTAATTATATGTCACGCAATACAGACATATATTAATATATATAATATTAATAATAAAAACATTTTTTCCATTTATATATATTATAATGAAAATATTGTAAAAACAAAATTTTTATTATTACTACTACTATTAATAGTAATGGTATCAATAATATAAAATATATTAAAATTGTAAATTGTTAATATATTTAATATATATTAATAAATATTTTAATAAAAATGGACACTTACTCGGCCCGATCGCGGGTCTTGAATCGGTTGAATGTAGTCTTGGCTACGTCCAGGGCGTTACCAAAATCGATAGGCATTTTTGATAATTATTTTTATATTTTATTAGATTTTTAGTATATATATACTTTATCTACTTTATGTTTTCTATAAGTAAAAACAATATTTTATTATTATTTTTTTTTGTTTAGTTGATTAAAAAAAATTAAGTCTATTAGGATATCAATATGACGAATGATGATTAACAGTAATTATATAATTATAGTTATATTTAATAATTTTTATATAGTTATTATTAATTAGTTATTAGTTTATTTTTTTTAATACAGTACTAATAATTTAATTATATAATTTAAATATTGTATTAAATAAACTGTAGCAACACCAACAACAACAACAATAAAATGATTTTTTTAATTAATTAGTTTATTTATATATATGAATATAAATAATTATGGTATATAATAATAGCACACAGTTAACAACAACAAGAAAATTATATTTTTATTTATTTATTATTATTATATATAAAATACACTAAAATAAAGCTTAATTATAGATATTATTTTATAATTATATAATTTTTAAAAATTATTATATTAGTTTTTTTTTAATAATTTTACAACAATTTTCTTATTTACAATAATTTTAATAATAAGATAAATAACAAATAGTTAATCCTTTTTATTAAAATAATCCAACATTTTTTAGAAACAAAAAAACCAACAAATTATTGGTGTCATAGAGAAAAAACTGACTTTCTCTACACAAAACACAAAACACTATCGCCAGCAACCAGTACTCTACCAGTGCTGTAGAGGCACAGGCAATGGTAACACAACTGTACTGATGGATAGTTGTGTTTTTACTGGTGAGTGGGGGACAACACTAACAGTAAAAACAGTTCAAAAGTTTATAGGGAACCGATGGTTACGGCGCTTATGGATTGTTTAGCGACGCGACCACCGACTCCTCTCTATTTCTCACTATATATCGATATATACTCTCTCTTTCTCTCTCTCTATGGCAGCGCTCATAGAGAGTATCATACAGTTCCTCAATAAGGACCGTACGATTCCAAAGTTTGTATGTTTAGTGTGAGTATATATGTGTGTTTGTCTGCAAAATGTTGTCAAACGTCGCGATTGCGCTATAATTGTATTATCAAAATGACTTCAAATTTTTATCATTAATTTTCTTAAATTACTTTTATATCATTTGAACAGTTTTTATGTATAATCTGAATCATCATATCTTACGAATAAATTATTCTAAAAATTTATTTTTTTTAAATCGTTTAAAATGTATGGCTATATTAGTTTTTTATATAATTTTTTACTTAAAATATATATTTTTCAAATATTTAACACAATTAAAGTGCTAACATGTACTGTACACTTCATTGTGATTTATTTTTTAATTATATTTTAATTAAACTCTATTACTATCAATATATAGATATATAATATTTTTGAATTGGTGTATGGATATATATAGTAATTATCATATAATTATAGATAAAAATTTAGAGACACTTGCAAACTAATCAAAAAATATTTTAATATATAAATATGTAAAATATACTAATGTACTAAAATTTTTATTAATTTTAAAAATGTGATAAACAATTTTGTTTGCTATACTTTACTATTGTAATATACTATATCTCAATATAAATTCAATAAGTTATTAAATACATTTGTATTAAAATTTTAAGATATATTTTTTAACATTTAGTTTGAATGTTTATTAATACTATTATTATATATGAATAATATTATTTATAATTGTTTTTAAATCTATTAAAACTTTACTACCGGTAATTAAAATATTAATCTAAAAAATATAAATATTATCTAAAATGTCTTGTATATGGAATTTATCAAATAAAGGAAAATATCATTAAAAGATAATATGATTATTATATTAATTTAACAAAATAGATAAAAAATGTAATTAATATTTATATTTTTAACAAATATTTAATAATTTTAGTCAACTTTATAATTATAATACATTGAAAAATTTTATTAAACTATAAAATTGTTTTTTTGTTTTGTTTTAGTAATCTTTAATTCACTAACTTATTAACTCACTCACTCACTCACTCACTCACTCACTCACTCACTCACTCACTCACTCACTCACTCACTCACTCACTCACTCACTCACTCACTCACTCACTCACTCACTCACTCACTCACTCACTCACTCACTCACTCACTCACTCACTCACTCACTCACTCACTCACTCACTCACTCACTCACTCACTCACTCACTCACTCACTCACTCACTCACTCACTCACTCACTCACTCACTCACTCACTCACTCACTCACTCACTCACTCACTCACTCACTCACTCACTCACTCACTCACTCACTCACTCACTCACTCACTCACTCACTCACTCACTCATCCACTTTCCACTTAATTCTCAGACATCACACGCTTATTGTATTAAAAACAGTTGTGTTGTTTGATTCACAACACTATCTCTCAATTCCCTACCCGTCCTTTGGGACCATTAGTGAGATTGCATTCGCATTGTATGACACAACGTCTCTCCATATATTTATATATAAATATATATATATTTTTACTTAACTATTATGTTTATACTGTATATACAGTATTATGTATCCAATTCGGTAGATAGTGATGTATGATATGGCACCGGCATTCACAACATAGTTTTCCCATCTATTTTGTTATACGACAACACATAACATATAAATAATGCATTTTTATTCAAAACATTGTATTAAAAAGGAAAAATCATATTATGTTATGTTATTGAAGTTATTTGGTAGTCAAGAAAAATCAGATATAAATAAAAAATAAGAAAATGAAAAATTGCAGAAAAAAATATTAATTAAAATTTTAGTCAAAACTAAATAAAATTAAGATTATTGTGAAAAAGTGGCAATATTAATTATAGATTATAATTATTTTTTTATTTATCAAATTATGTATTGTTAATTACCTATATATATATATATAAATAAATTTATTTTTAGTATACTTAATGACAGTCAATTATTTAATAAATAATTGTATTTGTATTACTATTAAACAATAATATATATAATTTTGTTAAATGCTATGAGAAGGTAGCATATGTTTAGAGCAATTACTTTATTATTAGATATACCTTACACTGTATAACATAAATCACATATAAAATAATAGTCTATTTAGAAGTGGTGTGAATGTGCTATTGTTGTTATTATATTATATTATTAAGGAACAGTTAGTTTTTGCTAACATTCCTTACAAAAGTGTTTACTAAAAATGCTTATACGAGAGCAGTGTTTCTGATGTGAACCACAGTGTCTGACTAAATACAACACGATTTTAACGATGTGTTGACTCCCATTCAAGTGGTGGACAGCAGGTGTTTGTGATGACTGTTCTCTAACGGCAATAATTCTGATAACTGTTGAATATCTATACATCTTTATACTAGAGAATTGAATTTGTTATATATATTACAAGTATTGAATTGAAAACTTCATTAATACCACATTAACACACAAATCAATTTAATATACAGTGTTTATTAGTATATAATATAATATAATATAATTTTATTAGTATTATTATCTAAAATTATCTATCATTTAATTTATACAATATTTTTAATCATAATATAAATAAAAAATAAACCAACAAAAGTATTAAATATTTACATTTAAGATATATTTAATTTTTTAAGAATTATTTTAATTTAACAATAATTATAATAAAATTTATTATAATTATAAAACAAAAAAAAATAATTTTATGAACTACTATGTAGTGTACAATAATTGCTGTCTGATTCGTATAAATCATTTTCATTGACCATAAAAACGGATGAGATTTCATCATATTTTTCGTTTTCTTCCTCATCATTATAATTGAATTGATTTGAATAACGCGAATAATAAAGTGAACACAATTTTGATTGTTTGCCATTGTTTTGTTTGTTAAGCAAATCGTTATTCATTACGGAAATAACATTTAGCCGGGAATCCAATGGCCGACACCGATATTTTTCTCTAACAAACCACACAATGCAAACAATTAGCAAAATAATTGCTAGCATTACAATAATGATAACCAACAGTACGTGATGTTGTCTGCTATTATGATGATCATCGTCACCATAATTATGATAAATATTTGTATCTATATTAGTTGTTTTATTGTTAACCAATGGCGTACTATTATTGCCCAAAATATATTGTTGCATATGATGGCACACATTTTCAGGTGACATACTAGTACTGTTAGATAAATTTTCATACTGTCCTACACTATTAGGTGCTTTATGTCGGTTATAATTACCGATTATTTTACTGTTAAATGCTCGGACATAGTCCACAACAAATGTCGAACAGGTAGTCGGATTGAGCCACTGTTTGGCATCGGTATCAGTCTTTCTACTGTTTCCCGAGTGAGCCATGTTGTCTACTATCACTGCAATACCTATACGATATTTACATTGATCAAGTGGATTTTTAATTTGAACAGTCAAATTTTGATTAAACATAAATTCAAAATTGTCCTTAGTACATTTAATTGTGTGTATGTTAAAAGTTGTTAATAATTGACCATGTACATAATTAACATCACTAATGTATTTAAGTTTATCATTGCTAACAAATCTTTTGTATATAAAAATTGTATTAATGTTTTCAATAGATATATATTCATAATGTCTATCATAGTATGATATATTCAGATAGACTATCGATTTGATTGATCCGCCATTAGGTACGGCCAGTCGGGTTTCAATCGTATCCAAGTCTACTAACTCTTTTGATACAATCAGAGCACTCGTATAGTTGTTATACTGAACGGTATTATTAATATTATTATACGACTCTCTGATTGCTGTCAGCGCCAGCTTTCCGTTGAAAAGCTGAATATTTTTATCATTGTTTGAATACAAACTTATTTGACCGGAAAATAATCCTAATGAATAAGATTAACAACAAAATTTATAATAAAATTTAAATTATTTTAATACGTTTAGTATATTTAATATAACATAAAATAATAAAAATAGTTTTGTAATGACTTACCTAAATGATTATAATTACCTATATATACATCCCATTTCTTTTCATTAAGATATTGGCCGTCAAACTCATCTCTCCAATAATCTTCAGTTGTGACCAAAAATATTAATGCATTTAATTTCACATATAATACAAATAATAATGCATTAAATAAGTAATGCATTATAATATATGATTAACACAAAAACGAATATATTTTATGATTATTATAATTATTAATATTTTATTTTAAATTATTGTAAAAAATAATGTTATAATATAAATGAAATTTTAGCATATTCATTATTTATATATTTAGTATATTTCTAATTGATTACTAAAATTGTATTAAAAAGGATGTCAAAACCAAATATGAATTGTATAATAATAAATATGGAAAGAAATATAAATAGCAAAATATTCAACTAATTTAAATTATAAAAATATTTGAAGCAATAAAAATATAGATACATTTATAACAAAACTTATATAATTTGTTTTTATAAATTGCTTAAATTGTATTTTACTGAATGAACAATAATTATTGTCTGATTCATACAATTAATTTTCTTCTAAAATCATTGAATTAATTTTAGTCTTTTTATAGGACTCTTAATAAATTGATGATTGACTTGAATATAGTGAAGATGTGTTCAGATAATCGATGTTTTAGTTATTTAAATCGCAATTTTATTTCTATTAAAATCAGTATTGTTTTTAATCTTATATTTGTTTTTAAGTTTATAGTTATTTAAACATAATTAAAATATGATTATTAACTCTAAATAACATGATTACTTGACTCTGTTATCTAATCTAAACTATTATGTAAATTACAGTTAAATATTTAAGCATCTGATGAAACATAAAATAAATTATTAAACTTTTATTGATTACCTCAATTGATATCAATGGATACACTATAACACAGAACTTAAGGGACAGATATCTGTTTCAACATTTCACGAGTCGATTCATTCAGCGCTTTATATAAATTAATTGTTATATAATTTAATAATTGTCTACTTTTTAAGTATAAGTGGTTTTGAAAGAGACATACAAAACACAGGATATGATTTTTTATATAACATATTTCTAATTGATTACTATTTACTAAAAGATGTTATAACTAACTATTAATTAGATAATAATAAATATATTATAATGGTTTTTAAATATAATTTTATTAAAATATATTTATTATAATAAAGAAATATTAATTAATTTACAACTAAAAAAATAATAATATTTAATAATTATTTAATATTACAAAATCATGACAAATAAGAAATAAAATTTTAGAAAATTTATTTTAAAAACAATAATTTATATATAATTAAGAATAAATTTTTAGAAAATCATAAATTTATTTATAATATAATTAGTTGTAATAATTATTTTTGAAAAATTATATTTTTTTCAATGAACAATATCTACTGTCAGATTCGTATAATTCATTTTCGTGTAAATTCATTGAATTGATTTCATCGTATTTATTGGAATCGTTATAATTGGATGAATAACTTGAATATAGAGAACTGGAGTTCAAATTATTTGTGTTTTGGTTTAATAAATCACTATTTGTTACAGTAATCTGTATTTCATTCAATCGACTATCTCTTTGTTTTTGTATAAACCAAATACTACTCATTATTATAATAATTATAATGAGTGCAAAAATTATTATACCAAATATTATTGACTTTTGCAATGTCTTAACATTAACAATTGAATTATTATAATACAAATTATTAGTATTATTAAGTGTTTTATTTCCCAAAATATAATATTTTATATGATTGCATAGATTTTGTGGTGATGTACTATTGGTATAGTTTGATAAATTGTTTAATTTGTTGGCCCTGTATCTCAAATAATCAGCATGGTTAAATGCTCTAATATAATCGATAGTAAATGTTGAGCATGTTTGTTTAAGCCATAATTGTGCGTCTGAATCAATTAACATACTGTTACCCGATTGTAAATTTTCAGTTACCAATAATGCAATTCCTATACGATATTTTGGTCGTCCAGTTATTGACAAATTAAACCAATCAATATTATTGTATTTAAATTTGCTGTAATAGGCGTCTAATGTAATTGTATGAATATTAAAATTTGCCAGCTTAGTACGGTGCAATTTAATTGGACATTTAAATCTATTTGAGTTAATAGCAATTTGTTGGTAACATAAATTGTTATAAAAATTGTGTATAGCTATATAAGCATAGTTACGATAGCTTATCGATATATTTAAATAAACAATCGATATGAGTGATCCACCATTAGGAATGGCCAGTCGGGTCTCAATCTCATTGAAATCCAGTAAATCTTTGGATACAATCAGAGCACTCGTATAGTTATATTGGGATCCGTTATCCGACTGTTGTCTGATTGCTGTTAGCGCCAGATTTCCGTCAAAAAGATGAATATTTTGATTGTTTGACGAAAAGTAACTGATTTGACCGGAAAAGATATCTAATAATGTAGATCATTGAATATGAAATAATGATTTTTAATAAATTTTGAGAAAAATGATTATTATTATACTTTAGACAATAAGGAAAACTTTAATAATTAGATCAAAGCTGATATAGATAAAAAATTAAATTAATACAAGACTAGTTATTTTAGGTTAATATTAAGCTATAAATATTTTATGTAATAATAAATTATTATTTGTTACTAATATATGATCTATCTTATATTAAAAATATACCTAAAATATATAAAAATATTAATTAAGCTTTGAAATTATTGGTTCATGTTAGTAACCAAAAATCGTTTAAATAAATTATAATATAAATATGTTTTGCATCAATTAGTTGTTTATATAAAAAATATAATATTATCCAAACTTACCAAATTGATTATAGTTGCCAACAAATATATCCCATTTGCTTGTATTTAGATGTTTATCGTTAAACTCATCAAACCATATGTTATGAGAAGTGACCAAATTGTCAAAATTATTGCCAATTGTTATTACAAAATGATTAAATATATATATTTTTAATAATATTACTATTAATAATATAGAAATCAACATTATTAATTTTGATTTATATTTTTAAAAATAAATTGTTTATAATATACTCTAAATTATAGACAATATTTAAATAGTTATAATAATTGTCATTTAATATTTTATTTAATACAGTATATTCTATATGCCATAAAAAACTTATAATTACCATATAAAGACATAAAGATATAAAGACATAAATTAATAAATGTTTTTTATTTTTAATATTATGTTACAAATAATAATAATATTTAATTTAATTTAAATGTATTTGTCATAATTTAAACAAAATGAAATATAATGTGTCGTAATGTACGGGTATTATAATGTAAAAATTTTGATTTCATGTATATAATACAAATCCTGTACAGTAATAAAAATAAATAATTATCTATAATATATTTAATAAATGTCAAATTACAAGAAATATATTTATTTTATTTATTAGAAAATCATAATTGAAATAATAATTATTTACAATAACAATATTTAAAATAATAATAGTTTGTTAGTTTAAAAACTTATTTAGCATTATAGATAAATTGAATTTACTTTTAGATCATTTCAGATTATTATTATTATTATCATTATCATCATTAATAATATTAATATTATCTTTATTTTTTCTAAACCTAACTTTTCTATTTTCTATTGGTTTGCTATAAAACATTTTATTAAGTACTGTATAAATGATTACCAATAATGTCAGTCCAACTATAAATATCAATGCAATCAACAATATATTGATTACAATAGTTTTAACACTAGTTTTATCTGACAGCTCATAATCAGCTAATATAAAATTATTTGATTTACGTATAGGAAGTGTAGTTTGATTTGATCCAGTTAAATTTGTATTCAGTGGTAGTGTATAATTTAATTTATTATAAATGTTTGTGTCAGCTGATGATGTTGGACATTGTTGACCAGGTACAATTACATTTGATGCATAATTTGTTTCATTAAAAATATAATATGGATATGATTTATAATATCTGATATAATCAATAGATAGATAATCATTAGTCGAAAATTCAATATAACCTCTAGAATAATCAACAATAAATAGTATACCAATTTTGAAAGATATATTGTTAGACTTATTATAATATTTATAAATGTTGTCAATATTTATATTATTTAACATAAATTTAAAAACTTTTTGATTAACTTGAATCAAATGGGCATTATTTTTGTCAAGATTTATGTGTTCAATACTCTTGAATTTTTTACCACTTATTGGATATCTGCCAATAAGCGACTCATTAGATTGAAATGAATTGTAGACAAAATTATAATAGTTATTATCGACTGTAAAATTTATAAATAAAAATGTTTTAAGTAATCTTGTTTTAGGTATTGCCATCACTGCCACAACTGTTCCCCAATTAAACGATTCACGCGATATGATTGCCACTCCGGTATAATTGCCAATTGATTGTTGGATCGCATTCATCGATAACTTTTTGTCAAAAAACTTTACATTTTCATTAAAATTTTCATTATTAACGACACGATTTTGAAACAAATCTTCAACTTCTAAATACATAATTAGACATAATTTAAAATATATATATATTTAAAAATACTAGTTTTAAAAATATAATATACCTTTAAAATTGCCAACACGTATTTCCCATTTAGTTGTATTCAATGTTTGACAATCAAACTCATCACTCCATTTAATTTCAGGTTTGGATTCATATAAATTCAAGTTAAATAATATCAAATAAAATAATATATTATACATGACTTTTAATATAACTGATTCACTAATTTCAAAATAATAATAAAATTCTAATGAATTTGATAACAATAAATACAAAAACTGATTTAAACGATATAAAGTCAATATTAAATATAAATATGAGTGTTATATAGTTTATTTTTAATTAAATATAATTAAATTTATTGCATAGCTTTTTGTATTGCATAGACAATGACACATAATGTATGTCCAAATAAAGCAATAACATTATGTAAAAATAATAACAACATATTAATCATAAATATATTGTTGGTATAAATAAATAATAATGACTTTCATAGATAATAAAATTATTATATAATTATTATATTTGTATTTATGTGAGTATATTAGAGAAATGTATTTTATTAAAAGTTTCAGTAATTTATAATAAATTAATATTTATTTTATAGTATATTTATATATAAAATCTAAAAAAAAATTTTATTAATCAAATGAAATGATTTGATATAACTTTATATACAAAATATTATTAATAAATGATAGAAATGTTTTAACAATAAGTTATTTACTAATAAGTTCAATAGTTAAAAATAAAAGACATTACAAATAAAACTTAGAAATATAAAAAATTATAATTTTTAGTAAGTTATAAATTAAATTACATATTAATTGTTTTAATAAATATTTTACAAATTATTCAAATTTTTTTTAGTGAACAATAATTGCTGTCCAATTCGTATAATTCATTTTCGTGTAAATTCATTGAATTGATTTCATCGTATTTATAGGACTCGTAATAATTTGATGAATAACTTGAATATAGAGAACTGGAGTTCAAGTGATCGGTGTTTTGGTTAAGTAAACGGCTATTTGTTATCGAAATCCTTATTGCTTTCAATCGATGATATCTTTGCTTTTGGATATACCATATAATACTCATTATTACTATAATTATAATTAATACAAATATAATTATAATTAATTTTGTTGATCTTCGCATTTTCTTATTTTTATAATAATTATTATTAGTATTAGTAGTTGTATTATTATTATTATCAATTGTTTTGTTTCCCAAAATTAAATATTTCATATGATTGCATACATTTTGAGCCGATGAACTATTTGAACTGGGTAAATTGTTATGAGTGTTTGTTTTATTATTGAAATAATAATCATCCTCATCATCATGATAATATGCTCTAATATAGTTGACAGTAAATGTAGAGCATGTTTGATTAAACCACAATAAAGCATCTGAGTCAATTAGCATACTGTTTCCCGATTGAATTTTTTCACTTACAAATAATGCAATTCCTATACGATATTCAAAGTATTTTTTAATTTTTCCAAAAGTAAACCAATCGTTATTATTAAACTGAAATCTGAGATAATTATTTGAGTCTAATCTAATTGTATGTGTATTAAAATTAGCCAATTTAGCCCGGTGCAAATTATCTGGACAGGTAAATTTATTTATGCCAATATCAATTTGTTGATAACAATGTTTGTTATAAAAATTATGTATTGCTATATACGCATAGTTACGATAACCTATAGATATATTCAAATAAACAATCGATTTGAGTGATCCACCATTAGGTACGGCCAGTCGGGTCTCAATCTCATTGAAATCCAGTAAATCTTTGGATACAATCAGAGCACTCGTATAGTTATATTGTGATCCGTTATCCGACTGTTGTCTGATTGCTGTTAGCGCCAGATTTCCGTCAAAAAGTTGAATATTTTGATTGCTTTGAGAAAAATAACTGATTTGACCGGAAAATATATCTAATAATATAAATAAATAACTTAAATAAAATATCGTCACATTCATAATAGATTTTTAAAAATAAATAAAAAAATTTATTAATTTAAAATAAATATATCTTAATTTAATATTATTTTACTTATTATC